CCCATACGCACACACGTACACATGCACACACACACCGGACACACATACGTACAATTCAACCACTGCTGGATGATGAAGTGTTTTCCCAGTTCCCCATTGAAACCACTGGATCGTGATCAGCCGTGGTCAATCCACTGCTAGATGATGAAGTGTTTTCCCAGTTCTCCATTGAAACCACTGGATCGTGATCAGTCGCGCTCAATCCACTGCTAGATGATGAAGTGTTTTCCCAGTTCCCCATTGAAACCGCTGGATCGTGATCAGCCGTGGTCAATCCACTGCTGGATGAAGACCTCCCTAAGCCGTCGCCACCTCTTGCAGATCATAAGATGTCATCACGCTCCGCCACAGGTACTTGCACGTCAACTGATGTTAATCGCTCCAACTCCTCGGCGGACGATGTCCCCTCTCTAGAATTCGGTTCCATTCCCGCGCTTGCACACCTTATAGAAACATATCCACGTGCTTGTAGAATTTGGGAGCCGAGTTCAACTTACTTACTTAAGCGGGGGGGGGGTACTCCCCCACGAGGGGGGGGGGGGCGGGGGGGGTGGGGGCTATGCAAGATCCAATTGTGCCCCCCCCAGCCTCCTTTCTCCCGACTCACTTTTACTGAAATAGTCACGGATGTTTCTTTATTTTTTTAGCCCCGTGTACAAATTAATACGGCGGCTGTAACAACAGGGTGCTTCAAAAATTTTTTACAACATCGCATGAGACCCTCGTTTGTAATGGAAAGAGTATAGGGATAACAACGCTGCAAGATGATAACAAATGTAACGTGAATAGCTTCAACAAGTTAAAGATTCTCCCACTTGTTCGCCATCGTTGTCAACGCGTGCCCTGGAATCTTCTCCCGGTGGTCTCCAGCACACGGATGGTACATTCCTCGCGGTGCATTATCGCAAATTCTCTGAAGGGTTAACATTTTTTTCTGAAGCACCCTGTATATACGTTGTTCACAGTCGCACCCTGCGTTGTTGCCTTTAGAGGAGAGACAGTCTCCCAGTGACGATATATATTTATATATATAAAAAAACGAATTAAAGGTTACAATACTCGCAATTAAGTTATCGTGCGTCTTGCAGGCAAAAGCCGGTTCCATCGGGCTAACACAGTGGCACTTAAAACTTTTACTTGCAGCCTTCTCAATCGTAACACAATGCACAATGTTAATGAACACATTGACGGTTTGATGGATTAATAATAAAAGTAAGTTGTAACTTAACGTGCCCGTACTTAGCTTAATTTGTCTTTTCGATGATTCACCTTCCAAAAGAAAATCTGGTAAAGTCTCGCACCCTGCCCCCCCAGAGAGGGCATTTCGCAACCCCAGGTTAAGAACCACTGGATCCACTTTCTTGTTTAGGGTCCCCTAAAAAGGGGGTGGATCGCGCTAAACTTAATGCTCTTATTGATCTGATTCCCAGACGCGTTAATCATCGGATATGGTCCATGGTGGACAGCAGGTAATTTTTGTATGGATATTAAAGCTGTCCCACCTGATGACGGACGCTTGTGTTGCGCCCGAAACGTCGTGATTTATTTTATTTTATACCTACGTGGACTTTACGGAAAGAACCAAAGAGTATGGATTCCTGCAGTCACGAAAGCTTCAAATCAAGATTGAATATTAAACAATTTGAATTTTTTTTTTCCGTAACATGTTTTGTCATAATAATAGGTTAACCCCTTTTTTTCTGACGACAAAACAGTTGTGTTAAGATGTTAAAACACCAAACTGAAACCTTTATGGAAGGAATCATGTCCGCATAAACCACAGATACTTGCGGTGACAATACAAACAAGAAAAACGCTCTCACAGTATGATGCATTGTCTTTGAAACTGATTGGTCCACACCAGAGACAGCTTTCTTATATTTTGATACTGGCAAAGGGGCCGTCCATAAATGACGTCACGCGATTTTTGACGATTTTTGACCCCACCCCCTGCTCGTCACACGGCGTCACAAAAAGTCTGACCCCCCCCCTCAAATGTGACGTCACAAAGCTCTGCCCCCCCCAAATAAAACATGCTTCAAATCGCTTTAAGCTATTGTCATTGTAGTGCGTATTTAATGTGGCGCTGCACTCTGATGTTGTAGTCGATTTAATTAAGTAGAACGTGTTGTTTATATTTATTTAAAGTTGCGCATTTTAATGTGAAATCACATTTCTCACCCCCCCCCCCCCTCGTCAGACATCGTCACAAATGTCTGACCCTCCAACCCCCCACCCCTAGGTGCGTGACGTCATTTATGGACGGCCCCAAAGGAGGTCCCATGAAGTTTTGTTCCTTCTCTGTCTGTTGATTCGGGGGACCCCTTGTGGCCGACTGGGCCCCTATGCGTCGCATAACCCTGCACCCCCCTACCCCGCATAAAAAAAGTAGAACCCTTGTACATACGTGATATACAGTTTCAAGAATATTTACGGACACTTTTCGATCCAATTCGGCATGCAAAGCCTTCCAAGAACGCGGCGTGTGTCTGTCATGGAAGATGGAATGTTGGAGAGGGGGGAGGGGGTGTGGATCAAATGACCATACTTCACCACGCGGGTCCGTGTAGGTTTCTGTAGAGGGACGTGGATGACTTCCTCCACTAGCCTTGTCGATGATGATGATGATTGTAACAATAGTCGCTCACTAAACAGCAGAACTTGCTCCCAGCATTCTGCGAAGCTGGATTATGTGACCATACTTCGCCACGTGGGTTCGTGTAGGTTTCTGTAGAGGGACGTGGATGACTTCCTCCACTAGCCTTGTCGATGATGATGATGATTGTAACAATAGGCGCTCACTAAACAGCAGAACTTGCTCCCAGCATTCTGCGAAGTTGGATTATGTGACCATACTTCACCACGTGGGTCCGTGTAGGTTTCTGTAGAGGGACGTGGATGACTTCCTCCACTAGCCTTGTCGATGATGATGATTGTAACAATAGGGGCTCACTAAACAGCAGCCCTTCCCCCCCAAGCAGTCTGCGAAGCTACATGGGCATCTATGGTTTTAGTATCTCGCTATTGTTAGTACAAAGACACTGGAGCATATGTACGTTGGACGTTCGAAGTTTAACTTTAAAAAAAATACATGACTCTCTTGCATATTTCGTTTTAAAGCTTTCGTGACTGCAGGGATTCATATTCTTGGTTCTTTCGGTAAAGTCACGTAGAAGGGAAATAATAAAATAATACAAATCAAACAATAAAACTCTCACGACGTTTCGATTGCACCACAAGCAATCATCATCAGGTGTGAAAATGCTCTTGCTGTGGTTTTCACACCTGATGACGATTGCGTGTGTTGCAATCGAAACGGCGTGATAATTTAATTGTAAAAAAAAATATTATTATTTTATTATTATTTCCCTTCTACGTGACTTTACCGAAAGAACCAAGAATATGAATCTCTTGCATATTTTCAGCGCCGGGAGTGCCAACTTTTTCTCCCCCCCCCCCCCCCTTCTTAGGGAACAGCCATAAAACTCGCTTATACCTTTAAAGGAGCTCGCTCGTTTCTTGGCGTCTATCCACCGCTGGATGAATAAGCCGGCGTCCCAGCACCGTTACGACCGCTGCGATTCGCGCAAAAACCCGTGAGCAATTCGCTACAACCTCCCACCACCTCCCCGACCTGCCTTTAAACTAAACACGCCGCCGTCTCGTTGATAGCTCGAAGTGAGTGGGCAGGGGGCGTACGTTCGAATGGACCGTATCGGATCGAGCACGCTACTCGAGCGCCGAGACGTCCCGAGGGTTTACACGCAAACTCCAAAAATACAGCAGGCGTCAGGGTCGAGATCAAACCCACGGACTTCCTGCATACCAGGCGAGGGAGTAAACATCTCGTCACCGCGGCGTGGCACATGTGCGTACCACATGCGCTATTTTAGAAGTGGCCGTAGCATAAATATATATATACACACACACACACGGGAAGAGGTAGAAACACTGTATATATATTTCTTCTGGCACACGCTGCACGTTCTTCTGGCTGCTATTTAAGTACTTAGGAAAGGAATGACTGCTCTTTCCCAACAGTGTTTTTCACTCACGATACAAAACACATGCAGGGCCTGGCGAATAATTAAATAAATATACACCGGTATTTATATATATAAAACATGTGTATATATTATTACCTTTAGTACGGACTGGCTATTGAATCGTACGGACTGGCTATTGAATTGTGCGGACTGCCTATTGAATTGTACGGACTGGGTATTGAATTGTGAATTTTACTCGGGTTGAGCTCATCTCTCTGATGGCCGTGTTGTGCGTGTTTGTGGAAAGCGATTTGGAACGAAACGCATCTCGAATTTGTTTCTCTGTACTATTTAATCGGCAAGGTTTAGGATGTGCTTTGTCGCTCGCCTTGGTATTTGTGGGTGCCCGCTGTATTATCCAGTGGTAGATGTGCCTGTTTGTGTTTGTGCGTGCCTTCCCAGATTCGTATAACTTTAACGAGAATATTTGTTTTAATCCAGGAGAGACACACTAAGTCGTATAACCAATTTGTTTTGTTTTAAAGATGTTTTCAGCCGACGATTGGTAACGAGTTTCTATAACTGTATTATTATTATTATTCACGTGCGGAGGAAAAAACCGGAGCACCCGGAGAAACCTCACGCCTTGCGCGAGGGTGCAACACTCTATCCCCGATTTTCGCGCGCCTCCGATGAGCATGGTTGGCCACGTACGGTGCAAAAGAAGTTCAACATACACGCACATACAGAATAGATGGAAGCAGATTAGTCCCACTTGCTGTACCGCCCTCTCCTGGCGAGCTAGGGGTATGGCACCACCTCCTCCTCGACGGTCAGGGAGTGTCACAACATCTCTGTGTGTGATCCACAAAGTGCCGGGGTCAGCACTGCGCTGCGCTACGTACCCGGCGATCCGAGTTCGATTCCCGCTCACGGCCAACACCAGTGACGATTGTCTGAACCGGTCATGGGCCTCCCCTAGTTCGACTCAGCCTCAAATTATTACCTGGTGCAGTGTGTAAAAATCGTCGCCACTGGGGAGACAAAGGCGGCCTCGTGTGCCGCGCCGGCCTTCATAAGTGCTCGTGAACGGCACTTGCCCCAGCAGTGTGACACAGGCGAGACGGGGTGTCGTTGTCTTTGTGATTCACCGACGCCCCGATTGACGTATTCCTTTATTGACATCGGGCCACGCATTTTGGGTCGTGACTTACGATTTTGCGGAGCGTTCCACAATCCGGATGAATAGGGAAATATTTGAAGCGCGTTTTTTTACGCCTCCGGCAATAAACGACCTCTTGCGTATTTTCGTCCCGTTATTTATTCGCCTTTTTTTTTTGTTCAGAGCCAAAGGGCTGGCAAAGCCATTAGCATCACTCAGGCACGCGGCACACATTCCTTAGCGTTCGCCTTCGTGGCATTAGCATTTCACATATTACAGCTGCATCTAGATTGGAAGTTTTCGTGACTGCAGGGATCCATACTCTTTGGTTCTTTCGGTAAAGTCACGGAGGTAGAAAATAAAATAAAATAAATAAAATCACGACGTTTCGGGCTCAACACAAGCGTCCGTCATCAGGTGGGACAACCACGGCAAGAACGCAATTGCTGAAAGTGGGTGAGCAGTTGAAGTGGGTGAGCAGTTGTTTTTTGCTGTGGTTGTCCCACCTGATGACGGACGCTTGTGTTGCGCCCGAAACGTCGTGATTTAATTTATTTTATTTTATACCCACGTCACTTTACCGAAAGAACCAAAGAGTATATTACAGCTGTTTTTTTTATTCTTCTTCTTAAATCCAGACGATATTGCAATTAATAGCAGGATCTGAGCGTGTTTTTTGTTGTTGTTAAACACGGGACAGAGGATGAATATTAATTAATACTCGACTGTATTGTGATAATAGACTGCCGATGGACGATCCTCAGATTAGTACATGGTGGTGTGCAGTAAACATCGCCACTCGGGAGACAAAGGCGGCCGGGAGTGGTGCTGGCCACCCACTCACTCGTGTGCCACATTGCCGTCCTTCATAGGCGCTACTACTCCCTAACAGCACTTGCCCCGACATTCCGTTGCAGGCTACACGGGGGATCTTTGTCTTTGTCGACGAGAGAGGGAGAGAGAGGGACCAGACTTGTCCGCTACAACATAACGCAGCGTTTCCCAAACAACTCCGGTCCTCAAGCCCTCCCCACTCAAATACAAATTAACTCGCGCTGCACGCTGCACGCGCCCGATGATTGTTTAAACGCGCCTATGGCCGTGTGGAGATGCCATCGCACGCACGCACGCGCACACTCGCGCACCGTTCCGTGTTTACATTTTAATACCCCCCCCAACCCCCTTGCCCTACATAGCCATTAGCGGTAGCGTGTTTTTTTGGTTCGAGTTCAGCGTCCTCCTCCCCCGGGACGAGTGGCAACTCTAGCCGGGCAACCGGGGCGGACCGCTGCTGGAATCAAAGGTCTTGAGCTCCCTCCGTCTCCGGATCCTCCGCAGTGGATTCCTCGATTCCGCAGTTGACGATGACCACCTCCTTGACAGGGACGTCGTTCTCATCTGCGGGGCAGGACAACGTTTGGAATCATCGAACCCCCCCCCCCCAGCCCCACTCACCCACACCACCCTCTCTGCTCAACAATAACATGGGGACACATAGAGAGGGTTGCCCAAATGTCAGGACACGTAGGATTGTTATTATGGAGGGTGGCCCAAATGTCAGGACACATAGGATTGTTATTATGCAGGGTGGCCCAAAAGTCAGGACACATAGGATTGTTATTATTATAGAGGGTGGCCCAAAAGTCAGGACACGTAGGATTGTTATTATGCAGGGTGGCCCAAAAGTCAGGACACATAGGATTGTTATTATGCAGGGTGGCCCAAAAGTCAGGACACATAGGATTGTTATTATGCAGGGTGGCCCAAAAGTCAGGACACATAGGATTGTTATTATGCACGGTGGCCCAAAAGTCAGGACACATAGGATTGTTATTATGCAGGGTGGCCCAAAAGTCAGGACACATAGGATTGTTATTATTATAGAGGGTGGCCCAAAAGTCAGGACACGTAGGATTGTTATTATGCACGGTGGCCCAAAAGTCAGGACACATAGGATTGTTATTATGCAGGGTGGCCCAAAAGTCAGGACACATAGGGTTATTATTATACAGGGTGGCCCAAAAGTCAGGACACATAGGGTTATTATTATGCAGGGTGACCCAAAAGTCAGGACACATAGGGTTGTTATTATTACCGAGGGTTGCCCAAATGTCAGGACACGTAGTGTTATTATTATACAGGCTGGCCGAAACAGTCAGGAAACGTACGGTTGTTATTATTATACAGGGTGGGCCAAAAGTCAGGTCACATAGAGTTATTATTATACAGGGTGGCCCAAAAGTCAGGTCAAATAGGGGTTGTTATTATACAGGGTGTCCCAGAAGTCAGGACACATAATGTTGTTATTATACAGGGTGGCCCAAAAGTTAGGACACATAGGGTTTATTATTATACAGGGTGTCCCAGAAGTCAGGACACATAATGTTGTTATTATACAGGGTGGGCCAAAAGTCAGGTCACATAGGGTTGTCATTATACAGGATGGCCCAAAAGTCAGGACACATAGGGTTGTTATTATACAGGGTGGCCCAAAAGTCAGGACACATAGGGGTTGTTATTATACAAGGTGGCCCAAAAGTTAGGACACATAGGATTGTTATTATACAGGGTGGCCCAAAAGTCAGGAGACGTAGGGTTGTATGATTTACTTTTACTCTGGCAAAATAAGTGTACGCTTGAAGCATAATTGATTAATGTTCAAATAATACATCTGTGATCTTTTTTTCCTTTAAGTCCTAAATTCATTAAAAACAACGATTCATTTGTCATGCACTAATGCTAATAACAGAAGTCAGTCTGAACGTGCGTGAATAAAAATTAAATAACCCTCCGTTATTTGTTAAAATAACCCTCTGTCTTTAATTTTTGGCCACCCTGTATATATTTCACGGGCATGAACATTTTCAATAACATAAATACACATACATACATATATAATGGGCTTGAACGATAAAATAAACACAAATACAATGATCTCCCGTATAGCCTTAACAATCTGTTAGGGCAAGTGCTATTAGTGAGCACCCTATAAAGGCCAGCACAGCACACGAGGGGGTAGATGGCCACCACCACGCCCGGCCGCCTTTGTCTCCCCAGTGACAATGTTTTTTTTACACACCGCACCAACTACTCGTGTGAGGGCCGAGTCAACCTAGGGGAGGCCCAGGATTCGTTCAGTTAATCGTCACTGATGTTGACCCGGAGCGGGAATCGAACCCAGGTCAAACAGGTTCAATAACGCAGCGTGCTAACCGCTACACTACCGGTCCCCATAGATAAAACGCGCACACACATATATTATGGGTATTAACAAAAACACTTCCCTATAACAATGTTGCAGGTGCTTTCGCCCCAACTCTGTGTGCGGTCTGCGGCAGTGAGAGCTGACACTAAACCTCCGATTAGCACCGTCATCCTCGAAGCAGCAGCGGCTTTTGGCCACCCATCAAACAAAGACGGCGGTCACCACATCGCGCTTTCAAATGCCCTTCTGCGGCCGTCTGGAACGCTCTTCCGTCCGATAAGGAGCCACTGAAGCTCTGCACTTTTAAATCTAGCTTGAAAACTAATTTCTTTAAGAACTGTTTATTGCCTGTTAAGTTTGTTGTCCTTCGGCCGCACCTCCGCTAAGCGTGGTTGGCTACGTATGGTGCGAAAGAAGTTCAACATGCGTACGTAAACACCTCAAAGGTGTCTGAATTCAGAGGAGGCCTTGTAGCTTGGGGTTTCTAGCGCGTGGTTGATTTTGATGCAGCTGTCACTTTACACTGAGGTGCTTAATGATCCAGAGGGACAGTCGCTGTGATGATGCCGCCGTCGTACAGATATCTGTGTGATTCTATGGGTCTCTGTGTGAGTCTATGGATCTCTGTGTGATTCTATGATTCTCTGTGTGAGTTGATGGGTCTCTGTGTGAATCTATGGGTCTCTGTGTGAGTCTATGGTTCTGTGTGATTCTATCATTCTCTGTGTCAGTCTATGGGTCTCTGTGTGAGTCTATGGGTCTCTGTATGAGTCTATGTATCACTGTGTGAGTCTATGGGTCTCTGTGTGAGTCTATGGGTCTCTGTATGAGTCTATGGGTCTATGTGTGAGTCTATGGATCTCTGTGTGAGTCTATGGGTCTCTGTGTGAGTCTATGGGTCTATGTGTGAGTTTATGGGTCTCTATGCGATGCTCTGGATCTCTGTGTGAGTCTATGGGTCTCTGTGTGAGTCTATGGATCTCTGTGTGAGTCTATGTATCTCTGTGTGAGTATATGGGTCTCTGTGTGAGTCTATGGATCTCTGTGTGAGTCTATGTATCTCTGTGTGAGTCTATGGGTCTCTGTGTGAGTCTATGGGTCTCTGTGTGAGTCTATGGGTCTCTGTGTGAGTCTATGTGTCTCTGTGTGAGTCTATGGATCTCTGTGTGAGTCTATGGATCTCTGTGTGAGTCTATGGTTCTCAGTGTGAGTCTATGGGTCTCTGTGTGAGTCTATGGGTCTCTGTGTGAGTCTATGGGTCTCTGTGTGAGTCTATGTATCTCTGTGTGAGTCTATGGGTCTCTGTGTGGGTCTATGGGTCTCTGTGTGAGTCTATGTATCTCTGTGTGAGTCTATGGGTCTCTGTGTGAGTCTATGGGTCTCTGTGTGAGTGTATGGTTCTGTGTGTGAGCCTTATGAATATCTGTTTGAGTCTATTGATCTCTGTGTGATTCTATGATTCGCTGTGTGAGTTGATGGGTCTCTCTGTGAGTCTATGGGTCTCTGTGTGAGTCTATGGGTCTCTGTATGAGTCTATGTATCTGTGTGAGTCTATGGTTCTGTGTGTGAGCCTTATGTATCTCTGTGTGAGTCTATGTATCTCTGTGTGAGTCTATGTATCTCTGTGTGAGTCTATGGGTCTCTGTGTGAGTCTATGGGTCTCTGTGTGAGTGTATGGTTCTGTGTGTGAGCCTTATGAATATCTGTTTGAGTCTATGGATCTCTGTGTGAGTCTATGGATCTCTGTGTGAGTCTATGTATCTCTGTGTGAGTCTATGGTTCTCTGTGTGAGTCTATGGTTCTGTGTGTGAGCCTTATATATCTCTGTGTGAGTCTATGTATCTCTGTGTGAGTCTATGGGTCTCTGTGTGAGTCTATGTATCTCTGTGTGAGTCTATGGTTCTCTGTGTGAGTCTATGGTTCTGTGTGTGAGCCTTATATATCTCTGTGTGAGTCTATGTATCTCTGTGTGAGTCTATGGGTCTTCTGTGTGAGTCTATGTCTCCCTTTCCAATCGCCGGCGCGCCCCACTTCCCCCTCCTCCACCACCCGCCCCAACCTTACCCGTGGGGACTGCCTCGATGACGCGCACCACGTGCCTGCCCGTGAGCACGCGGCCGAACACCACGTGACGATAATTGAGCCACGCGGTGGGCGCCGTCGTGATGTAGAACTGGCTGCCGTTGCTGTTCTCTCCTGCAGATGGAGAGCGCGTGGGTAGGGAGGGGGGGGGGCAAGGGTGGGGATATACGACCTGTGGGTTACTACAGAGAGCGCGAACAGCCATGTTATTCACTCATTTTCGGGGGGGGGGGGGGGGGGGCGGGCAGCACTATAGGCGATCATACATCATCAGTGTGGGGGGCCGCCACACGCTTGAAACCATTGGGTTTTGACAGTACGATGATGGGGTGTTTTCACATGTTGTGCATTGTCGGGGTGGGGGGCACATACGAGGCAGTGCCGGATGTTCCTAGTAGCAAAAGAAAGCTACACATGCTAGGGCCCCGCACTTTCAAGGGCCCCACGCTAAATGTTTTCAAACTATCAATTCCGGTTCAATGATTCTGCACTTGCTCTATTACTATAGTACTATACCGCCTTCAACTTTTATGAACGACTGTGTGTTCAAGGTTAGCGATTTGTCGTATTATCTGGCTGGATAGCAAATGAAAAAATACAATAACTTTACTGTGCAAGTTAAACATTTGTGTTTTTAATATTAACGTTTTTTTTCCTTTTTATTTAGGGCCCCTTCATAAAATATGCGACAGGCCCCGCAATAGCTTGATCTGACACTGATCAGGGTCGCAATAAAGGCCACCAGGGGCCGCCAGTGGCTCGCGGGCCTTGCAATGAAGATGACTGGCATACACTGCCTCGTTCCACTCAGCTGAGGAGGTGTGGTGGGTGGGGGGGGGGGGAGGCACCAACCTGGATGCGGCCCCGCGATTTCATTTCGTGCGGGCCCACGGGCAATTAACGCTCTGTGCGTTAATAGAGGCGATTGAAATTAAGATCGAGATCTCGGTGCGCGTCTCTGTGCGCGCGCGTGCCTCTCCTCAAGAGTTTGTGGGCGTGTGCATCGCCGTGACGAGTGCGGTCCCGCGTGACGCGGACAGCGTCACGCGGGGACCGCGTTAAACACTCATCGTGCGCGTGCAGCGTGGAACGAGTTCATTACACGCTTTCATTTAACTCACTCTGTCTGTTGCTGTCGTTGTTGTTGTCGTTGTTGTATCCTCAAATCTTGTAACTCAATTTTTATACCACTTCCCAATGTGGTGTCGTCTGCAAACTTGGTATACTTATATCATACTGATGACAATAATATATTATATCATAAAAAATAAAATATATATTTTTTACAAATTCTTTTTTATATGTTATGTTTCGGCTTCGGTCTAATTGTCCACGCTCAACTGACGTTGGCTGTAATTGCCCACGGTCCCCCGTACGTTATGGCAAGCTTCGGGGCCACTTCCTGGAGTGGTGGAGTTCTTCCATTACTAGTACATTTCATAAAAGCGTGTTTTAAAAAAAGTTTTTTTTTTAATATTACTTATTTTATATTTGAATGGGGCAAGAGTAAATTGGTAAACGTGGAAAGACGGCGCGTGGTGGTGGATGTGGGGGGGTGGGGCCGTGGGACACGCTCCGCTATGTTACATTGCGGCTGTGTTGTAGTGGACAAGGTCTGGTCCTTTTCTCTCCCACTCTCGTCGACAAAGATAAAGATCCCCTGCGTAGCCTGTAACAGACTTGGGGCAAGTGCTGTTCGCGAGTAGCATCTATGAAGGCCGGAAGAGCAGATGAGGGAGTGGGTGGACACTAACATTCCCAGCCGCCTTTGTCTCCCGAGTGGCGACTTTTACTGCACACGAAGACAAAGGTCCCCCGTTTCGCCTAAATAGACTGTTGGGGCAAGTGCTGGTTAGTGAGCACCTATGAAGGCCGGTACGGCACACGAGGGGGTGGGTGGCCAACACCACGCCCGGCCGCCTTTGTCTCCCTAGTGGCAATGTTGACACATCACACCAGTTGCTCATTTGAGGCTGAGTCGAACTAGGGGAGGCCCAGCACCGGTTCAGATAATCGTCACTGGTAACCAGGTAACTCCTCCATCACCACCGCTGTTGGCCATACCTCCTGTGTGACCTTTGCAGTAGATTGTCAAAATTTAATCTTTTAAACTTTCTGACATTACTGAACACCTAAGCGTGTTTTTTTTTTCTTAAAACAAAATCACTCCCCAGATCCCGCCGTGAATTAAAACCTCATATGCCTGCTCCTTCCTTCCCTATCCTGTCTCTCTCGCTCGCTATCTCGTTCGCGCGCGCGCATTTGCTCATTCGTGGGGGGATGGGGGGGTGAGCCTCGTCAACCCGTGGGCCACATACCGCTGTTGGCCATGCCGATGCAGAACGGCGAATGCTTCACTCGGAAGTTTTCGTCGTCAAAGTGTTTCCCGTAGATGCTGAAACCCGCCGAGCCGTCGCCGTTTTCGAAGTCGCCGCCTGGGCATCCCGTCGGAGTTGGGGGGGGGGGGGGAGGGCGAGGAGAGACGAGCAGAGTGGGGGCGAAAAGGTGGGACCACCACCACCATCATCATCACCGTACCGTCGTCGTCGTTATCATCAGTGACGGACTGGGGACGAGAAATCGGCCTCAAGGCATTTTGTGGACGCACAGCGGGGCCCAAATTTCCGCGCAATCTCATCGAGGGCTCATTCGGGGCTGGATCCAAGCAAACTAAAACAAATGTATTGGGGGACTTAAAGCCCGACTGAGAGCGTAAACAATGACGCGTACACGTAAGATGTAATACAATTTTATATCAATGTTTTCTTTTCATACGTATATATTTTTACTCTGATCACATTTGCAATTTCGCCAAACACATCCGGCCCACCGGCCCTCGGAACGGACCGGCCCCACCAGGTCATGTCCCCTACGGACTGCTGCCCTTATAGTCAAGTTCGTGCCTGATCATCATCATCATCATCAATAATCATCATTGTCATCATCAATAGCTGGGCAGTGGTGGAAGCTACGCTGTCGCACGTGGCTGCATGCGATCCAGCCACTGTGGAGGCAGCAGCAGCAGCAAGGGTTGGTGGATCGCAGACACGGAGACGCTGTCGTGAACCTCCCCCTTTCCCCTGGGTGGGCGTTGCGAATGAGCCGTGCCCTTGGCTCTGCCAGGAGAACGCGGCACAGCAAACAAATGTGCACTCGCTGTGTCCCATCTGCATGAGATAGAGTGTTTCCCCCTCGCACGCGTGAGTTTTCGCCCGGATGCTCCGGTTTTCTCTACACGTGTTTGCACACTCACCCATTGGCGGGTAACACTTCAATATATCGAGGACCGCAGAGCTTGGGACGCGGGCCGGGGGGGGGACGCTTATACGGGATAGGCTCACTGATCGCCTGCTGTCTCCACTGCCCTGTGGTTCCTCCTGCTGACCCGCCAATGTCCCCCCACCCCTCTCTCTCTACGACAGCGAGCGAACGCTGTGCGGCAGCAGCGGCGGAGTCGCAGCGTTACGGAGTCGACGCTGTTCTGACTGAATGACTTATCGGCGGCGGGCGCGCATCAGCAATGGCCATTCCACTGACGCGGGCAGGAATTGCGTGGAAACCGCACATTCAGCCGCGCGATCTGCGTCGGTTCTGACCAGGGCGATGCCGTGCGGGAAATCAACGGGCTACCGTCGAACACAGACGGCGGTAACCGCATCGCGCGGCGCTTTTATAGACGCCGCTGCCGCTTCCGCGGCCGTCTGGCACGCTCTTCCCTTGCGATATTGGGAAGCCGCTGGTGCGTGTGTGCTTCAAAGTCATCTAGATTGACGGACTCGTTTATTTAGAGCCGCGTGTTTTGTTTAGTTTGCTGTCCTTCCTCGGCACCTCCGATTCGCGCGGTTGGCTACGTGCGGTGCGATAGAAATTCCACGTCCGCAACATAATAAACAACACGATTGCCACATTCATCCAGCAGTGTATTGATCGTGGCTGATGATAATGATGACGATGATGACGATAAGGATGATTGATGATGACGGTGATGGTAGTGGACGATTGATCATTGATGATGACGATGATTAAGATGGCGATGATGACGATGAGAACGATTGTGATGATGACGACGACGGTGATGACGGTGATGATGATGATGATCCTGATGGAGGAGGATGAATACGCGTGTCTCACCCTGGATGGCAAAGCCCTTGATGATGCGGTGGAGCCGCGAGCCTTTGTAGCCACGCCGGGGCCCACGAGTCGGATCGGCGAGCGCCACGAAGTTCTCGACCGTACGGGGCACGGTGTGACCGTAGAGGCCCAGAACCACACGGCCCGCCGGCTCCCCGCCCACGGACACGTCCAGGAAGACCCGCGCGGTCACGGTGCGCAGGCCGCCCTGAGGTATGGCGTGGGTACGGCACGGGTTATGGCACGGGATACACCACGGGGTACGGCACGGGTTATGGCACGGGATACACCACGGGGTACGGCACGGGTTATGGCACGGGATACATCACGGGGTATGACACGGGATACATCATGGGGTATGGAATGGGATACATCACACGAGGTATGGCACGGGATACATCACGGGGTATGGCACGGGATACATCACGGGGTATGGCACGGGATACATCACGGGGTATGGCACGGGATACACCACGGGGAATGGCACGGGATACATCACAGGGTATGGCACGGGATACATCACAGGGTATGGCACGGGATACATCACGGGGAATGGCACGGGATACATTACGGGGTATGACACGGGATACATCACGGGGTATGGCAGGGGGTATGGCACGGGATACATCACGGGATACATCACGGGATATGGCACGGGATACATCACGGGGTATGGCACGGGATACACCACGGGGAATGGCACGGGATACATCACGGGGTATGGCACGGGATACATCACGGGTTATGGCACGGCAAATGTGTAATCGGCGGTGCGGGGGAAAGACAACAAACTAAACGCAAAAAAAGCAGTAGTAAAGAAATTATTTTTTCAATCTTTTTTTTATGATTTTAAAATGCAAAGCTTCGGCGGGCTTCCTCATATCGAAAGGAGGAGCGTTCCAGACGGCCGCAGAGGGAGCGCTTCTGAAAGAAGCGCCGCGCGATGCGGCGTTCGATGGCCAGCGGCCAAAACACCGCTGACGGCGCGGACGACCGGCGTTTGCGTGGCGATGCTTTCTGCTCCTTGGCCAGAACAGCGAGCTATTGCCGCGGGTGCGCGCGCGTAACGAGTGCGACCCTCTGCGACGCATTCGCTCGGCCAACCGTAAGCCAATCGCAGCTCGGCGATCACTGTGACGGCAGAGCCGTCACGGCACGTGGCCAGAGGAATTTTTTGCACTCGCGCTGCCTCGGCTTGCTCGTGTGTTTATTTTTTTTTTTGCCACGTGCGCGCCGAGGGGACTGGGACTAAAAAATATATAAACAAATAAAGTTACAAATAGAAAATCGCCCCGGGCGTTTTGTGAACGCAGCCGGGCCCGAATTGTCGTGCGATCTCATTGGGTGGGCCCATTCGGTGAGGAAGAATCTTTTGAGGCCGTCGAATGTGGCGGGACTTTTAACGCCAACTGAGGGCGTAAATACGCAATTAAGCGTACACATTAGAGGTATTAACAATATGTTAATTAAAAATGTCTTTTGATTTTATATTTGTTTTACTCTGATCACATTGAAAATATCTACACACACACCGCCCTATCGGAGCATTTTCCCTACGGACTGCTGTCCCTATGGTCAGTCCAGGCCTGATCATTATCATCAATAATCATCATCATCAATAATCATCATCAATAATCATCATCGTCGTCGTCAATAGCTGCGCGGTGGTGGAAGCTACGATTGCTGCACGTGACTCCCTGTGGTAATAAAATATATTATAATGAAACATTTTAATTCATAATGAACGTTTTTGGGTTAGATCGCGTAAGTGTAAATGTTGTGGCGTAAGCCTCCACCAACCGACACAGCCAATTAGTAAGGGATTTGTCACGTAACCAAAACAAAACTAAATTGGCTGTGCGTGTCAGGTGGTGGAGGGTTACAACACATTTATACTTACGCGATTTAACGCAGAAAAAAACCTTTATTACGAATAATATTGGTCGCAAAAGCCTACGTTTTAAACTACGAATATAAATATTGTTTATTTTTATCACACTTACAATATCCTCACAAACACACACACACCGCCCCACCGGGTTATTTACCCTACGGACTCGCTGTCCTACGAACTCGCTGCACTCTGGACTCGCTGCACAACGGACTCGCTGTCATACGGACTTGCTGTCCTACGGACTCGCTGCCTAACGGACTCGCTGCCTTACGGACTCGCTGCACTACGGACTCGCTGCACTCTGGACTCGCTGCCTTACGGACTCGCTGCCCTACGGACTCGCTGCCTTACGGACTCGCTGCACTCTGGACTCGCTGCACTACGGACTCGCTGCCCTACGGACTCGCTGCCTTACGGACTCGCTGTCCTACGGACTCGCTGCCCTAGGGACTCGCTGCCCTACGGACACGCGGCCCTACGGACTCGCTGCCCGGCCGCTTTCCCCTCTGAAAGTTGAAGGCGTGTGACTTGGGCCGCAAAGTCAAACTCACCTGCGCCTCCACCGTCTTGTGGGCGAGGAGCACGCACAGCAGCGCGATCTGGAAGGCGTTCAGCGAGCCCATTCTTGTCCCAGCGCACCGATGGTTGCTTCGTCTGTTCGCGGTGGGTAGATGGGAGGCCGTGTGTGTGTGTGAGCGTGTCTATGTCTCTGTTAATGATCGCAGCACTTGCACCAACAGTCCGTTGAGGCTCGACAGGGGCGGGGGAGGGGGGGGGGATGCGTACCTACGTCTCTATTTATGTTTAAAAGGTGCTCGCGAACATCCCTTGCCCCAAAAGTCTACCAAGGCTATGAGGGGGATCTTTGTCTTTGCCTTTGTTAATGCACGCACAGCCTTGATTTGAAACTCGTCTCTCTAGTCCCATGCCCAAAAGCCACAGACAGGAAGAAACATGAAACACTGAGTGTATTTAAATTGACATATACGTTTTGCAAAACAATAATAATAATAACAACACTTAAAAAGTTATTTTTTTTAGAAAAAACTCTTCTTAAAAACGAACTATTTGAACGCCTGTGTTCATCCAGACCACGGCGAATGTGTCTTTCCGCGTTGTTGGCGGCTCTGGAGCTGCCGTTTGTCAAGGAGGCGAGGGTGAGTGAAGCGACACTCCAAGTGCGCCTACGTGGCACCGCCACATGGCCACACGCATCATCCACTCAGTGGCGACAAGCACCAGGATACACAAATACCAAGATCCCCCGTATAGCCTTAACATGAATTTCGGAGCAAGTGCTGTTGGCGAATAGCACCTATGGCAGGCTCAAGAGGGTGGGTCGGTGGCTAGCACCACGCCCTGCCGCCTTTGTCTCCCCCGTGGCGATGTTTACACATCGCAGCAGGTACTCGTTTTGAGGCGGAGCCTACCTAGGGGAGGCCCCGTTATCGTTGCAGATTATCGTCGCCGGTGTTGGCCGTGAGCAGGAATCGAACTCCGGTCGCCGGGTTCGTGGCGCAGGGCGCTAACCGCTGCACCACCGCTCCCCTTTACCAGGATACACAGGCAGCCTAACCCCCTCCCCCCACACCCCCTCCCCTCCCCTCACTACCCCCCCTTCACCCCCCAGCTCGGAGTGAAGGACCCTCAGCTCTACCTCTTCACGCACTCACAATCGAGGGAGTCCGGGTGGCGCAGATGACTCGAGCTTAGATCCTGCACGGGTTCGAATCCGGGTTTGCGTGCAGTTAACATGTCTAGGTGGCTTGGAGATGTTAACTACCTCGCCTGGTATGCAGGAGGTCGTGGGTTCGATCCCGACGCCTGTTGCATATTTCGAGTCTGCGTGTCTCTCTCTCTCTTTCTCTTCGTGGTGGTCGTGTGGATTTTTCTCCGGGTCCTCCGCTTTTTTTTCGCCCTCCACATTTAGAATCAATAATCACGCGTTTGGAGAATGTGGCTCCTGTAAATTTCCACGTGATGATGATGAGCCACTTCGTTGAGCTATCATTTGTGGACAGGTCGCTTCTGAAACCGAGCTACGTAGCTCAGTGGGCCTTACCAGCCAAGGCCCGCCCTCAGGGGTCGATAGGCACCAATGTGGTGGGGATTCAACGGCCACTCGCCTTCTTGCTCTGTGCCATAGACCCTTTGCCGATGCCATGCTAATGTAGATTAAACTACTTTTTTTAACCATACCCCACTGAGATACGTTGCCCTTTTTCAGAAGCGACCTGGCCACAAATGATATCTCAACCTAAGTGGCTTATCGCGTGGAAATATAAAGCTGCCCATATACTGTGAACGCGCGATGTTCATTCGAAATGTGGAGTGAAAACCCGGAGGACCCGGAGAAAAATCCTCGCGGGCCACGGGGAGAGACACACGCAAACTACAAATATGCAGCAGGCGTCAGGGCCGGGATCGAACCCACGACCTCCTGCACACCAGGCGAGGTAGTTAACATCTCCTAGCCACCGCGTCACCGCCGCAGGAAATGAGCACCGTCTGAACAGAAGTCAAATAATTTTAATTCTTTTTAAGTGACGGGGCATCGTCACTTAGAGGGAGGGCTCTTACAAATAACTCCTGGTAAGACAATTATTTGCTCAAATGGTGAAGGAATTTATTTTTTCTTTTTAAACATCCCCCCCCTCCACTCGTGATTGATTTCCCTGCTGGCATCTCTTCCTCGCTGTCTCGTAATCCTCCTCCCTGTGCCCTCTGGCTACAACTGTCTGGATGATCAGTCTGTGCATTCCCATGTTTTTTGTTTATTGTATACGGAGTTAGACTGATGTCCTTAATCTTAGTTGTCTTGTGGTTGTTGTTGTTGTTATTTTGACTTGCATCCCACTGGGATTTTTTGCACACAGCGTTGGTGTACGGTACTATTTCAGGAATATTTTTTATGTTTTTTTCCTGGATTTTCTGTTTGCACAGTCACATAGTCATTTTAAGATGTTTTCTTGTTCGTGTTTTTGTTTTTTGTTTGTTGCGGTTGCACCCGATTCAAGAGCCGAATGGCTCACAGGGCTATACCTAATAAATGAACTAACTAAATGAACTAACTACCGCACCAATGTCTAATCCAGCAGCAACAGCAACAACAACAATGACAAAGATCCCCCTGTAACATACTTTCTTGGGGCAAGTGCTGTTAGCAAGCACCTATGAAGGCCGGCACGGCACAGGAGGGTGTGGGTGGACAACACCACGCCCGGCCGCCGTTGTCTCCCCAGTGGTGATGTTTACACACCGCGCCAGGTACTCATTCGAGGCTGAGTCAACCTAGGGGAGGCCCAGAACCTGTGCAGATATCTCCGCAGGTGTTGGTGGCCGTGAGCGGGAATCGAACTCGGGTCGCCGGGTTCGTAGCACAGCGCGCTAAAACTGCACTGCCGCTACCCAGCAGACATACAAATACATAGACACACACACACGCGCACACGTGCTTTAGATGTTTTAAGGGTGAACAGGTCGGGTCCATCAACTCGCCACATTGGAGAACCTGGCTTAGACACGGGCAGCTGAAAGCCCGAATTTCAAACCCGGTTGGCTCTGCAGTCGCGGCCCAACGTTCTGACCTCCCGAGCGACCCGGCCACCTTCTCGGTGGGGGGGTGGGGTTCGCGGTGGTGGGGGGGGGGGGCATGTGGGGGGCATGTGGTGGGTGGGGGCAGGCGAGGTCACGCCGGGTGACCCTCCGAAGGGGTTGCGGCCGCCTCGACGGCGCACCCTTGCGCGTCACGTGGCACGCGTTCAACAATCATCGGGCGCGTGCAAGCGTGCAGACTTTTGACTTCTAAACAACTTTTATTGCCGCCAGCAGCCAGCAACAGCACTGGAGGCGATTCCGATATGAAATACACAAAGTCACCAGCAACACAAATAAAACAAACGCTACAAATCCACGCGCTGTGGCGCTAAATGCACCGCGGCGCACAACACGAAAGAAAAGTCACGTGGTGGTGGTGGTGGTGTTCATCCGTGCAGAAGGCGAGTGCATTTCAGAGTTTAATTGGGGAGGCGTCAATTGGCGAACGCGGAGAGGAGCCTGAGAACCGTGGTGGTGGGCCGTGAGGACTGGCGTTGTTGTTCTGGAAACCCCTGCACTCCTGTGTATTTGACTCTGTGTTGCCATAGCAGGTACAGTATAACCTCCTTCTGTCTGCGTGGCGCATTGCAATGAGGCTTTCAATGATTCAATTCAGGAGTTTTATGTAATAAGAAGAAGAGGAGAGGGAAAAAAAACACTCCAGCCTCCTCGCTCACTCGTCCTCCCTCTATCCCCCTGTATTTGACAATGTTTATCCTATTTGCATCGCGTGACCCTCTCGCCGAGAGGTGCAGTATTTTGAGAATGAATGGCGCTGTTCACGAGGCGTGCGTGTCAGTGGGATCCAATTAGCACCCCGCCCGGATGCCCCCACCCCACCCACCCACGCCCCCCACCCACCCACGCCCCCCACCCCACACCCACACCCCTCCCTACCCCACACCCCCCCCACGGTGCCCTGGTGGGTTCAGTTTCGGAACAGCTTCGCCGACGCGCTCCCTCGCACAGTTCTACGACCGTCTACAGATGTAGCCCCTAGTTTGTTGACCCCCTTATGTTGACCCAATTTTAGTTGACCTTTGTATGTTGACCCCTTTATGTTGACCTTTGTATGTTGACCCCTATATGTTGACCCCTTATGTTGCCCCTTCACGCTGACCCATTAATGTTTACCCTTTTTTGTTGATCCCTTTTTATTGACCCCTTTATGTTGACTTTCATGCTGACCTATAAATCGTGACGCCTTAATGTTGCCCCCTTAATGAGCCCCCTTAATGTTGCCCTTTTGTTGACCCCTTCATGTTGACCCCTTAACGTTGCGTCACCTTCTCGACCCCAAGCCGCTCCCTCTACCCACCGGCGTGGTCACCTTCCTGGCTGTGGCCTTCGGTCACAAACTGACCACCTTCCTATTCGTGAGCTTGCCCTGTCTGCCCCGCATGCGCTGCCTGCCTGGCCATCCAGCAGCCTGGCTAGCTGACTGGTTGCCTGCCTTTCTTGCTAGCCGGATAACTGCCCACTTGACAAGCTGTCTGCTCTAGCTGGCTGCCTTGTCGCGAGGCTTACTGACTGCCTTACTGGCTAACATAATGACTGACTGGATAGCTAGCTAGTAAGCCAGCTAGCTTTTTTGCCCAGTTGGCAAGCCATGCTATCTATACATTTCTGGCTGGCCTCATTGGCTCTCTGACTACCTGTCAGTGTGCCTGTCTATATGTCCGCCCGTTGTGTCTATTTGCTGTGCAGGCTGGCCCCTGGCTATCTGGCTATTGGGTAGACTGACTCTCTATTCAACAGACTGTCTAGCTGGATAGCTTCCTATAGTTGTCAGGCTGGCCCGTTGTCTTGCTGGCTGCATGGCTAATTGTCTAACTCAGGGGCGGGGAACCTTTTTTTCTGCCAAGGGCCATTAAGGATATTTATAACAGCATTCGCGGGCCATACAAAATTATCAACTTAAAAATTAGTCTGTTATATTTGGTCAGACATTTAATTAACTCACCCCTAATGTGATGGCTGGAACTGCTTCTCTTTGGTGAGGCGTGTGATGATGTTAGCAGGTATTGATGATGTTGCTACTCGCAACTGCTATTCCAGGTTTGCTCCTAGATTTATTGAATTTCGAGTCCCGCCTGCGGTTGCCTTAGCAGGGCCACACCAAATGATTTCGCAGGCCTTATACGGCCCGCGGGCCGGACGTTCCCCACCCCTGGACTCTCTCGTTGGCTGTTTGCATGGCTAATTGTCTGGCTGACTGGTTGGATGGATGCCTTACTGGCTTCATGGCTAATTGGCTGGCTGGTTTGATGCATGGCTAATTGGCTGGCTGGTTGGCTGCATAGCGAATTAACTGGCTGATTCGCTGGCTGCCTTTCTAGCTGTATGGGTAATTGCCTGGCTGGCTGCATAGCTTATTGGCTGGCTAGCTGCATTGCTGACTGCATAGCCAATTGGCTAGCTGGTTGGCTGCACAGTTAATTAGCTGGCTGGCTTGCTGGCTGCATGTCTAATTGGCTGGCTGGCTGCATGACTGATTGGCTGTCTGCCTCGCTGACTGCGTGTCTAATTAGCTGGCTGGCTGACTTGCTGGCTGCATGTCTAATTGACTGGCTGGCTGCATGGCTCATTGGCTGTCTGCCTTGCTGACTGCATGGCTAATTGGCTGGCTGCATGGCTAATTGTCCGGCTGACTGGCTGCGTTACTGACTGCATGGCTAATTATCTGACTGGTTGACTGCATGGCTAATTGGCTGGCTCACTGCCCCAGTGGCGTGGGGAGGACACATGGATGCGCACTGAAGAAGCCTCGCTCTCTGCCGAGGACGCGTGGCAGCCAGAGACACGGACGTGCCGTGCAAACAATAGGCGGGTCTGTTTGGAGTGCGATAGAGCGCAAGAAATGGGCATTTCATTATCTGTCGGCTGCATTAAACACTCTGCCGTGCTCCGTAAATCGCCAACTCTGGTTTCACGTATTACAGACCAAGATCCCCCGTATCGTCTTTAACAGATTGCCGGGGCAAGTTGCTGTTCGCGAGCACCTATTAAGAACGGAATGAAACACTTATGACGGGGGAGCGGGGGGGTGTGGCAAGAACTGCCACCCGGCCGTCTTTGTCTCCCGCGATGTTAACACACCACCGCACGAGGTGCTCATTTGAGGCTAAGTCAACCTAGGACCGGTTTCATTTTGTGGTCGTGAGCAGGAGTTGAGCTGGTGGCCACCGGGTGCGCAACCGATGCGCCACCGCTCCCCTCCGGCACACACAAATACATAACGCGCGCACAGAATACGAGTTAAATGTGTGCGGTACTTTTTTATATATATCACGCGTGGTGGAATAAAAAAATAATAATTTGCTCGTTTCAGCATCTGCACATTGCGAGGGGTTTATATTTAGGGATGCATTTAAAAATATATATATCTCTCCCCCTCTCTATCTCCATTTTATTTCAAACGCCTGCGCGGAGTCGTCTGTCCAAATGCGGTGCGATGTTTAACTCCGCCCGAGCGGCTAATTAATTCTCGCCCGGAGATAAAGGGGGGGGGCGAGGGGCGATGCTGAACTCTTATCAGGGCAGACGGGGGCCCAGACGAGAAATTAATTGTAATGAGTGTGCGCTTTGAATTGTGGTGGAGGGAGGGGCGGGGGGGTGGGGGTGGTGGGGGGTGGTGGGGGCCTGTTAATGTCAGGCGCTACTATCGTGCCGTGATCTGAATTTTAATTTACATTCACACCCACCATCCCTCCACCCCCACCCACGCATTCCCCCGCCCGCCGCCCACCCCCCTGCACCCCACAACCACCAGCCCTCGTAATAAGTAAGAAAAAAAAATGAACATATATACAACTGAGATACGGTCTTCCTCTCGCTGCATTCTCGCCGGAGAAGAATTCGTTGCGCTGGTGATGAGCAGCATTATCCCGATTATAAGACGCACTCACACCCTCCCCCACCTCTCCCCCACCCCTCACCTTGCAATTAAAAAAGCAGTAATGAAAAACATTGGGGGTGCGTCTTATAATTCGGTAGCTGTGTGTGTGTGAGAGAGAGACCCAGTGGGGGAGCGGTGGCGCGGTGGTTAGCGTGCCGCGCTACGAACCCGCCAGGCAAAGACCTCAGACTTCTCCTCTCGCTCAGGGCCCAATATAAAATACAGTGCATGGGCCGGTCCTGTGCCTCCCCTAGGTCGACTCAGCATTGATTGGGTTACCCGGTGTGTAGGCATCAGCATCGTGTGCGTGCGCGCGCGCGCGTTTGTGTGATCAGACTTGGGAAGTGCGTCTTACATTCCGGAGCGCCTTATAAGCCGGGGAATACGGTAGTAATAGCCTAAACTATACAGTCTACACTATACAATCTACACTATACAATCTACACTATACAATCTATACAATCTACACTATACAATCTATACAATCTACACTATACAATCTATACAATCTACACTATACAATCTACACTATACAATCTACACTATACAATCTACACTATACAATCTATACCTAAACTATACAATCTACACTATACAATCTATACAATCTACAATATACAATCTACACTATACAATCTATACCTACACTATACAGTCTACACTATACAATCTATACTATACAAGCTACACTATACAATCTACACTATACAATCTATACCTACACTATACAATCTACACTATACAATCTATACCTAAACTATACAACTATACCTACACTATACAATCTACACTATACAATCTACACTATACAATCTATACCTACACTATACAATCTACACTATACAACTATACCTACACTTTACAATCTACACTATACAATCTACACTATACAATATATACCTACACTATACAATCTACACTATACAATCTACACTATACAATCTACACTATACAATATACACTATACAATCTATACTATACAATCTATACCTACACTATACAATCTACACTATACAATCTACACTATACAATCTACACTATACAATCTATACCTACACTATACAATCGACACTATACAATCTATACAATCTACACTATACAATCTACACTATACAATCTACATTATACAATCTATACCTACACTATACAGTCTACACTATACAATCTATACTATACAATCTACACTATACAATCTATACAATCTACACTATACAATCTATACCTACACTATACAATCTACACTATACAATCTATACCTACACTATACAATCTACACTATACAATCTATACTATACAATCTATACCTACACTATACAATCTACACTATACAATCTACACTATACAATCTACACTATACAATCTATACCTACACTATACAATCTACACTATACAATCTATACAATCTACACTATACAATCTACACTATACAATCTACACTATACAATCTATACCTACACTATACAGTCTACACTATACAATCTATACTATACAATCTACACTATACAATCTATACAATCTACACTATACAATCTATACCTACACTATACAATCTACACTATACAACTATACCTACACTATACAATCTACACTATACAATATATACCTACACTATACAATCTACACTATACAATCTACACTATACAATCTACACTATACAATCTACACTATACAATCTATACTATACAATCTATACCTACACTATACAGTCTACACTATACAATCTATACTATACAATCTACACTATACAATCTATACAATCTACACTATACAATCTATACAATCTACACTATACAATCTACACTATACAATCTATACCTACACTATACAATCTACACTATACAACTATACCTACACTATACAATCTACACTATACAATCTACACTATACAATCTACACTATACAATCTACACAATCTACACTATACAATCTACACTATACAATCTACACAATCTACACTATACAATCTACACTATACAATCTATACCTACACTATACAATCTACACTATACAATCTACACTATACAATCTACACTATACAATCTATACCTACACTATACAATCTACACTATACAATCTACACAATCTACACTATACAATCTACACTATACAATCTACACTATACAATCTATACCTACACTATACAATCTACACTATACAATCTACAACAAACAGCAACAAACACCACCCGAGATGCATTGCGAACACGTCTAACTGCGCCCATCACGCCCACGAGATGTAAGACTGTAACAACGTAAATTGGCGAGCAGTAATTATCTCTCGCGTTTAAATTGGTGATAAACGCTTCGATCTCACCCCACTCTTCCCTCGGTGTTGTTTCATCCCCCATCCTCACTCTCGGGTCTGCGGTGTGATGTGAGTGGCGCGCATTTGACACACGCGCCGCGCGCTGTCTCTCACACACCCCACCCCACATCCACCTCTCAGCAGTTTTATTTCCGTAGGTTTTTGCGTAATCAGACCACTGAAGCATCGTTTGTTTGTTTTTTGCGCCGTTAATTTTTTTTTATTTTTTAGATTCGCCAGCCGACGTGTGTGGATGTTGCGTGTGAAAGCGTATTTGCCGGCAAAAACCACCCCTACCTCCTCGTTGATGCCGGACGGCAACGCTTTGGTGGGCAGTGCCATGGGGGGGAGAGGGCCAACTTCGATGGCCCTGCTGAGTCTGCGGTGCCACAAATATTGGAAGAAGAAATCACCCGCTGCGAGTGGACGGCTGAGGTGCCATCTGTTGAGGAAGTACTGAAGGGAATCCAGAACCTGAGACCAGGAAAGGCACCGGTCAGAGATGATCTCCCAAGCGAAATGCTGAGGGAGAGTGGCGTTTGTGCACAGACTGCTCTACATGACATCATAATAACAATCTGGACCACTGGACGGGCTCCGCAGGATTGGAAGGATGCCCTGGTGGTCCGCCTCTTTACAACTACAGTGGCATCTCACTCCGCAGTGTGCCCGGAAAGGTCCTGGCAAGGATTGTGCAACATCGCCTTGCCAGGCACGCTAAGGAGAGGCTTGCGGAGCCCAATGTGGTTCCAGGAAAGGGCGATCCTGCACAGATGCCATGTTTTCTGTCCGTCTGCTCCAGCAGAGGTGTAGGGAATTCCAACAAGACCTGCATCTCTGCTTTATTGACCTGGTCAAGTCCTATGATACCATCAGTAGGCCTGGGCTCTGGGTTGTTCTTCGTGCTTTCGGAGTCCCTGACTCTCTGCTCACAATCATTAAATACCTTCATGATGGTGAGCGGGCCCGGATAAAACTACGTGTCAGGGAGTCAGAGCCATTCCCTGTTCACCTTGGGGTGCGACAGGGATGTCCTCTGGCTCCCACATTATTTAACATCTATTTTGACCACGTAGTTCGTGAAGCCTTCGATGGCTGTACCGGAGGAATTTCCATCCAGTACTGATACAATGGGAGGCTGATCGATGCCGGGGTGCGGTCAAGGAATGGCTCCCTATTGGTCAACCATGTTACCTATGCCGATGATTTGGTAATTTCTGCAGATTTAGAGGAGGAGTTAGAGGCACTGTGCTGAACTTGGAGCGTGCCTCTAAGAGGTGGGGCCTTACCATCAACCCCACCAAAACTAAGCACCTGCCTGGGTATTTTGAACCATCAGACACTCCACCACCATCAATTCCCAATTGGTGATGGGGCAGTTGTGGAGAGAGTGGAGAGTTTCCCATACCTGGACAGTGTGCTCATGACCAGCTCCGGTTTGACAGCAGAGGTCTCACTCCGAATCAGTTGTGCAGCATTAACTTTTGATCGGTTGCATAACGCTGTGTGTTCTCGGCCACAATTATTCCCTCCGTTCCATATGCTTGTGAAACGTGGACCCCCCTAATGGAACATCTTCGCCGGCTAGAAATATTTAGGCTGGCCTGCCTATGATCCATCCTGGGTTTAACCAAGCTGGATTGTGTGAGGAGCTCACAAATGCTTGAAATATCTGGACAAAGTCCCATCGGTGAGCTCCTCCAGCAGGCAAGGCTGCGTTGGCTGGGTCATGTAACCCAGATGCCCAGCCACCGCATGCCTAAAAGCTTTTGTTCGTCCAGACAGAGGGGGCTAAACTGGCGCGGTACGGGTTAGAGAGGAGATGGAGTGGCGTGGTACAATAGGATGTGGAGCTGAATAGACTTGCTGATGACTGGTACCAGCGGTGTCAAGATCGGCCTCTGTGGAGGAGGCTCGTGAAGGACGCTACTGGGCAGTTGGAGGCAGTCGCCATCCAACAAGAACAGGGGTCAGATGAGCGACGCTCACAACAACGAGCGGAGCGCCGGGCACATAGAAACGCAGCAAATTGACACAGTAGGGGGCACAGGTGGTGCATCGGCCACTCATCTCACTCAATCGACCCGTGGCACCTGGGTCTGCCCTGTGACCTCCTGCCAGCGGGCATTCGACACTTCACGTGGCCAGAACGTGCACATAGCCTGGCACAAACCACTTAGTGGCGAATGGCGGTTGTTGTTGTTGTGTGTGTGCGTGTGTGTGCGTGTGTGTACGTGTGTGAAGGACGCTGCTGGGCAGTTGGAGCCAGTCGCCCTCGAGCAACAGCGGAGGGCAGAAGAGCGACGCTGACAACAATGGGCGGAGCGTTGTTGTTGTTGTTGTGTGTGTGGGGAGCGGTAGCGTAGCGGTTAGTGCGCTGCACTACAAACCCGTCCATCCGAGTTCAATTCCCGTTCACGGCCGATACCTGTTGCGATGTGCAGGGGCGCCGCGGTGGCCAGATTGTTTACTACCTCGCCTGGTATACAGGAGGTTGTGAGTTCGATCCCGACCCTGACGCCTGCTGTATATTCGGTGTTTGCGTGCTTCTCTCTCTCTCCCTCCCTCCCCGTGGTCGCGTGGATTTTTCTCCGGGTCCTGCGGGGTTTTCCCTACGCGTTTAGAATCAACATCACCACGCGTTTCGAGTCTTCGGCTGACGTACATTTGCACGTGACTTCGAGCTTTCAGTTGTGTTCAGGTCGCTTCTGAAAAGCAAAGAAAAAAAGCTACATAGCTCAGTGGGCCTTATCTGCTAAAATTCTAAATAAATAGTCACGTTTAGCCTTCGTGACGTCTTGGCTCAGCACACGTGACTTGCAATCCAGCGGGTCACCGGGTTCGTTTTCCCGGAGCGGCAGTTTTGAAACAACGGGGCCGACTCTCTCCACCCAGCGACATATATAATTGGGTTTCACCATCAAGAACTGGCCTGGGGTGTCTTGGTCAGCGTAGAAGAGTGAGAGCTTGACAACAACAATAAAACCCTTTCTGGTTCAGGGCTCCACTTGCCGGCAGCAGTTTGCTTGAGCAAGAAATTGCAGGGCTGTGCCTCTACCTCATAGACCGAGTGTAATAATAAAACACACATCCTCACGCGCTATCACTCAGTTAAGACAATTAACACACTTAACATTATTTTCGGTTTAAAGTTTTTCCTTCACTGTTGGTGCTGCTGCTGCTGCAGATGTTACACACGCACCAAGAGACGCTGTTAATTCATATTTTCTGGAATGTGTTTTTTGTATTTTCCTCTGTCTGTAGTCAAGGAAGACTGGAGCCGTGATCAGAGTTTGCAACCCTCCCTCTTATCCTTCCCCCCTCCTATCCCCTCACTCCTACCCCCCTTTCTTATTCCCCCTCCTATACCCCCACCTCCTATCCTCCCCTCCTACCCCCCCTCCTACCCCCCTCCTATCCGCTCCACCTATCCCCCCCACCGATTCCCCCCTCCGATCTACCCCTCCTACCCCCCCCAATATCTCCCCTTCTACCCCTCCTCCAATCCCCCCTCCTACCCCCCCCCCCTATTACCCCCCTTCTATCCCCCCTCCTCCCCCCTCCTATCCGACCCTCCAATCCCTCCCCTCCAACTCGCCCTCCTACTCCCGCCCCTCTCCTATCCCCCGCTACGTATTGGCAAGTGCTGATAGTCTGTGAAGGCGAAACGACACTTAATAGATTTTGTGTGTGTGTGTTTCGGAAAAAATCCAATTCTCACTTCTTAAGATGTGCGCCCGTGACAGCACTTAGCAGGTTATCACCTCCGGATGCCGCTCGCCTGCCCAACAAATACCCCCGTGACTAATTCCGCCTCTGTCAGTGTTCACGATTTATGAACTGCCAATTAAGCGTTGAAGACTTACGTTTCCAACCACTCATCACACAGTTGTTGGTGTTGTTGTTGTTATTATAAATATATCTATACACATTGCTCTGTGAACGCTGGCGAATGCGATGAGCCGCTGCCCGCGAATTCCCCGGCGGTTAATTTTTTTTAAATATTCACCAACAACCCAAAGCTCCGTTTGTTGCTCACGAACAGCGGAAGGCAAGTCGCAACTCTGTCTCTCTCGTGGCGTCAATAGCCCCTTGACCACCACGCGAACTGCAAACTGCGAGACGCACTCTCTCGACCAGGCGGGTGCCCTGTCCTGATATCGAACCACAACGGGCTCGAGAAGAGTTGAAACGCGTGGCCGTTCGCAATAGGCCACCGGATACTACCTGGTAAGGGGCCGTCCATAAATGACGTCACGCACCTAGGGGTGAGAGGGGGGGGGTCAGACATTTGTGGCGATGTGTGACGAGGGGGAGGGGAGGGGGGGTTGAGAAATGTGACGTCATATCAAAATGCACAACTTTAATTAAATATAGAATTGTTATAACAACACTAATTGTTATAAAAACACTCCTACAACATCAGAGTGCAGCGCCATATTAAATACGCACTACAATGATAATAGTTTAAAGCGATTTAAAAAATGGAAATATGGTTTTGTGGGGGGGGGGGGGCAGAGTTTTTTCACGTCAAATTTTAGGGGGGGTCTGACTTTTTGTGACACCGTGTGACGGGGGGGGGTCAAAATCGTCAAAAATCGCGTGACGTCATTTATGGACGGCCCCTAAGGCCCACTGAGCTATATACAGTAACTCTTTTTTTTCAGAAGCGACCTGGCTATCCCAAATTATATCTCAACAAAGTGGCTTACTTATAGGGTTTAAATCTAAAGCAGGCAAGTACTTTAAGAGCGTGATGTTGATTCTTAATATGGAGGGAAAAACCCCGCAGGACCCGGAGAAAAATCCACGCGCCCACGGAGAGAGAGAGACGCAAACTCCAAATATACAGCAGCAGCAGGCGTCACGGTCGGTATTGAACCCACGACCTCCTGCATACTAGGCGAGGTAGTTAACATCTCCTAGCCACCGTGATGGCGATGATGATGATCAGAGTGAGAGAGAGAGAGACGCAAACTCCAAATATACAGCAGAGGCGTCAGGGTCGGTATTGAACCCACGACCTCCTGTACACCAGGCGAGGTAGTTAACATCTCCTAGCCACCGTGATGACGATGATCAGAGTGAGAGAGAGAGAGAGAGATACAAACTCCAAATATACAGCAGCAGCAGGCGTCAGGGTCGGTAATGAACCCACGACCTCCTGCATACCAGGCGAGGTAGTTAACATCTCCTAGCCGCCGTGATGATGGTGAGAGAGACGCAAACTCCAAATATACAGCAGCAGCAGGCGTCAGGGTCGGTATTGAACCCACGACCTTTGCGCCCCAAATAGGGGGGATCGGGGGGCACGGGGGGGGGTGAAATGAGACCAACAAAAATGCATTTCTTGGGTCGGCTTTGGCCCATAAAATTGCACCGAAAACGACAACAAAAAGAACAAAAACATTTAAATGTAAATTGCCACTAGCGTGGAGGAGATGCGGGAGACATTCGGGGCACGCAGGGCACACCGCCACAAAGGATG